TTTTTTTTTTTTTGATTCTGGTCTTTAAATAGAGCTCCAAGCTTTCCCCTCTATCATCAACGCAAATGTTTGCTCCTCCAAGACCAAATAAGCGAGCCCGAATATCCGAGGACACGACTGCATCCTCCAACCAGCTACCTGTCACTACGCCGATCAGTTCATTAGTCCAATCTCGAAATCGTAGGAGCTTTCTCAGCCGTACTTCCCGGCACCCAATATTTTGGCATCTTGATGGTTCAGTTGTAATCCTGGTTCAGAAGACCCTTTTCAAACTGCATCGTTCTCGTCTCGCGTCGCAATCCGAGTATTTTGCCATTCTTTTCAAGGGTATACAGGATACAAGTAGACAGAATGATGATGACATTGTTGACGTCACAGCTCTCGTGTCCGAAGTTGATGGTATCATTGAAGATGAAATAATTGATAGCTGTCCGGTTTATAGGATTGCAAGGGTAACAGCTGAGGATTTTTCTGTCCGTTTGAAGGCATTGGACAGTGGAATGTAAGTGCCCCTTTTGTTTGAGCAGAGAAAAGCCTCACTGATGTTGTTTCATGCCCAATATAGTGCCCTTGTCTTGACACCACCGCCGTTCTCTGATTTAGTTGCACTATTGCGTGGTGCCCACGCCCTCTCGTTTCCAACAGTATCCCTTTATGCCTCTCACCTACTACGTGAGATGTGGCCCGCAGACCTCTCACAGCTCGCAACTCCAAGTGAAAAACACACACGGCATGCAGCAGAGATGCTTCGGCTGTCGCGGTCGTGCAACTTCCCTGAAGTACGCAAACGGGCATTCTACGAGTTGCTCCGCAGTGCATCCTTTAGCCAAGCCTCGGGTGACCTGGACGACAACAGCTTCTCTACCGTCTTCGGCCAGGATGAGCAGCCGATTACATGTGCCTTGGACCGAATCGACATATTACGTCTTGTCTCTGCAAGGGAATTTTTTCAACAGATTTGGATGAGACTCATTCGCGCTCCACCCTCTCCGTCAGCGGTTCCGTGTCCATTGGAACAAATCTTTGCTGGGATTAATCCCTCGCAAGAGTCTGCTCTGCAGCGCTGCCGTGAAGCTCGTGCGGGTAGCGTCACGCAGTGGACGGCGGAAGTAATCCAAGGCACAATCTTCGACGAGGGTTTTTGTGATCCACTTTGTGCGTTGGAGAAGCTCGCAGACATGGACTGGGCCGGCATGGGCTACTGCACCGGCTGTATTTGTGCGCGCAAGGAGCTATGGAGTGAAGAGCGGGAGGCGGTATGGCGGAAACTGGACCGCTGGCTGGGGCTTTCTGGAACAGTGGAACAAGATTCAGATGATATTCAGATGGCTTCGGAATAAACGTACTGATATTTTGTTTCAACGCTGAAGCGCATCTTGTAGGCTTTTCACTACTGTGTCCTTCAGAATATCTGTTTTGGTGTCAGCTCAGTAGTACAAGTTCGAAGCTACTGATAATGGTTATGTATGAACTAAATGTTGGCATCAAGCAACGCGGCATTGATTCACCAACTCAAACATATCCTTCTCAATACATTGCCCTTCACACTAAAGTTCGGATTTGAGCATAAGTGCTATCATTAACATCTCATATCCTTACAATGTTGAACAGAATATCTAGTGAATCACCGAGCGCAGAGAAGTCTCTCCATGGGCATAATTCAGTATCCATTTTGTCACCTTACAATGGAAATTGGATACATAGTGTTGTAGGATTTGCTGTGCTTTTGCCTTATCCTACCCATAGTCACGAACGCAATTTCGCATCGGTCTCCTTCATATCCACGATTCATCATCATTACATGGTACACAGTTGTTTTGGGGGGATGACGTTACGGAAGTCATATGATGGATTGGTTTCGTGATCTTTCTCGTGTCTCCTATGCTGCCTTTATAACGGACTCCTCATTCTCCCTCATGTACAGTTTCGTACAGCATCGGATTCAACGGTATGTGCCCGGTTCGTTCAGACGAAGACAACGCCTGTAGCTGTCGCACTGACTTCACAAAGATCGAATTGTGAAGTCAGTACGCCAACGTTTCATGCGAAGAAATATATGCAGCATTAATCTACCAAACATAATGGTTCATTTAAGATACGTCCCCAACCAACACGAGCAGTGCCCGCCGTTCAACAATCTCCATATCGCGCGAGGTCTAGCGCCAGCGTCTGGCGCACTTCGAGTTGATATAGTTACTTGAAGTTATGCAGTACAGTAACTATACCCTTGCCGCTCGGGTGTTCCATGCGTTTCATCAATCATGGACAGCGGGAAGAGCGGGAGCGGGCCCACCAGACTGTGATGCCGATGCTGTGTCCGGCATACATTAAGTACTCAGACGTTCATTGTTTTGAAACTAGCTCTATTATCGAGAATTACAAAGTGAGAATCGTAGCCAGTGAGAATCAGCGAGTTAACGTTCAGCATCCTAGAACCCAAGGCTTTCACTTGAGAGTCCAGGTTGACCACTGCGCTGGCCGCTGGCAATCCCGGCCCGGGTGTGGAGTCGGAGCGGGACCGGGGAGGTCAGCCAAGACTTGGTCACGTGCAGAATGCGCCTCGGAGTTGTCGACTCGTCAGTTGCCTATGTGCAGTTTCTCAAGTTCATCGTCTTGCGACTTTTTGACCGTATCGTCTATGTTCTTTAGCCAACATGAATGCAAATGGTTCACAAATCCGCACCATAAATAATGCGACTGCTGGCTCTCCTTCATGGATCTGTCCGATATTACTAGTCGCTACCTTTGACGCGACCTGGTGAGTGGTTCTCCGTGCTTTCGTGTTCGTGTCTGCTCATTGTGTCGGGTAGAATTCAAATTCGAGGTCATTTGCATCTGCTTTGGTAATTTACGAGCAGAAATAGATCAGTGCGGGGAATGAGATCTTTGCCCACGTCGGTTAACACTTGAGTGTAACTAGTGCGCTATTTACGTTTTCCTGCACCTAATGCACTTGAACAGAGTCTCTTTGGCTTTCACAGCCTCAGTATGGTCATGTTCTTATATTCGTCGTGCTGACCAAGTTCCCCCTCTCCCTGTCATGGAGAGTAGGGATGCCGCGTTCGCGATCGTACCCGATCCCGCGAGCTCCTCGGTGTATAAAGGAGGTCGGCCTCGTCAGTTCTCTGGCAAGTCCATACAATCCTCTATCATGGCCACGCCTTCTCGTCGCATCGTTTCGCCTCCTCCAAACACTCAAGGCCTCTCGTGCCGCACCTTTCGTCCACCCATCCTCGATGGCTCGCTGCAGTACGGAGAATTCTTCGATTGGCATGAGAAGTACTCGCCAAGTCATCGCTTATTTGTGTACATCGATGGCGAGAGTCACCTTCAAACGATCACCTGGTCAATGGCCGCCAGAGCTATTCGTGCGGCAGCGCAACTCTCTAGGAATTATGTACAGTGGAACCATCAAACAGGGAAGGCGCCTGTGGTAGCTATTCTGGCCGCGTCAGGTAGGCAAACATAGTAATTCGCTTGAATCGACGACTGAATCGCCCTCAGACTCTATCCCGTACGCTACCATGGTGATGGGAATTATACGTGCAAGTTTCGTCGCATTCCCCATCTCTGTCCGTAACTCCCCCGCGGCAGTGGCGCATTTATTGAACAAGGTTGGAGTTGCTCATATATTGGTTGGACGCGAGCAATCATCACAGGACTTAGTACAAGACGCGATTGCCATACTCAAAACACAGAATACCGGTGCAATTGAACCCTGTTTCTCGCCAATACCTGTTTACGAAGACATTTACTCACCCTCATTCGGGCCACCTAATGCTGATGAACTCCCATATGTATTCTATGGCCCCGATGCGCCAATTCTCATTTCTCATTCATCTGGTGCGTCGAAGGAGCACTTTCGTCTACCGCCGTAGGCTGACTATCCCACTAGGGTCTACTGCGTTTCCCAAACCTATCGTTTTTTCGAATAGCCGCATGATTGAATTCTCCGCTTCTCCATACTACGGCGAGCGTGACTTGACAGACTTGCTTCTTTCCATTCATCCATTGCCTATGTTCCATGCAATGGGCCTTATGAATCTCGTCTGGACAGTGAGTACCGAGTGATCAGAGTTATATGGAGCGAATATATATACTGATATCACTATTCCAGAGCGCATGTGGTTATGCATGCGCCGCGTTTGCTCCCCAGTCCCCGCCGCCTGTTCCTACGCCTGAGTTAGTCGCGCGAGCTGCTCAAGCAGCTGACTGCGATGTCATCGTCACAGTCCCTGCATTTTTGGAGGTGCGGCTTCCATAATAGCTGTTTAGGAAGTCAAAATTGACTTTGGTTACAGACCTGGTCGCGCAACATGGACTATGTCCGATGGCTTAGCACAGCCGACTTCGTGGTGCGTGGTCATTGTGTGCAGTGGTTCTGCCAGCTCAGTCATATGCTACGTCCACAGCTCTTCGGAGGAGGTCCGCTGAACAAAGAGGTGGGGAGTTACCTTATCTCCCAAGGAGTCCCTCTTATAAATGGATATGGATTGTAAGCATAACATGAACTTTTGCGCAATTGCATTTTATTTATCGTGTTCGCTAGAACGGAGGTGGGGATTGTTAGTCTCTTCATGCCAGGTATGCACGCGATCGACCAGATGGAATGTTCACTGATTGTCCATTGTTGGCAGCCAAGCCGCATAATGAATGGGAGTATATACAACTCCATACCTCCCTCACTATCCACATGGAGCCTCAGGGTGATAATACATTTGAGTTGGTCGTGGTGGTGAGTCATGCCATTCTTGGATGCGTAGCTCTTGAACAAACGTTTTTGCGCCTTGTTAAGATAAACGAGAAGGATCATCCCTGCCTGATTAACACCAAGGTCAACGGCGTCGACGCTTACGCGACATCGGATCGTATTTCTCCGCATCCTACCCTTCCTGGATATTGGAAGATTGTGGGTCGTACCGACGACCAGATCATGCATAGTACCGGAGAAAAGGGTGGTATATCACTTCTCTGCTCAGAGACTTAACTAACCCGTCACCTTTCTTTTGAATAGACCAATCCGGGTCCGTTAGGTTAGTCGCTCTGTCGTTGAGGCTATACATAGGTCTAGTTCCTGATTTTCATCCGCAGAAAGTACTATGATGCAAGATGAACACGTTTCTGGATGTGTCATGTTTGGTCGAGGGCGGTTCCAAGCGGGCATTCTGATTGAGCCAAAGCCAGAATACGTGTTCGATCCAACAGACGAAGTAAAACTCGCTGAATATAGGAATTTGATATGGTAAATTGGTCCTATCAGTATCTATGAGGTAGTTTTACTTATGCGACCCAAGGCCAACAGTGGAAAAGATGAATACGTATGCCCCTCAGCATTCCAGATTGTTCAAAGAGGTGGGCAGCGCGCGATATGATCTCTTTCTTATATGAGATAGCTGATTGGCGACTAGATGATCATAATTGCGAGTCCTGCGAAACCATTTGAGTACACTCCCAAGTCAACCATACGCCGCGCAGCAGTCATTGCCAAGTATGATGACGAAATTAATGTCGCATACGACCGCGTCGAAGAAAGTTCCCAGTCCAGTATTCCCGCACCTATTCAATGGGAGAGCGAGAATGTCCTACCATTTGTTCGCGCCATCGTGAACAAAGTCATGAAGCATGATGTCATGGACGAAGACGATCTGTTTCACCACGGCTGCGACAGGTAAGCTAGCTTGGGTTTCTGATCCACCTTCCCTCAGTAATTCCTGTGCACTTGCAGTTTGCAAGCAACGTGGATTCGCAACACCCTCCTCAGAGTGCTGCGCGACACGACCAAGGTGAACACGCGCAAAATCGTCGGGAATTTTGTGTATGAACATCCTACAATTGCCGCGCTTGTTCGATTCATAGTCAGCACTGCGCACGGAACCGCGCAGAGCGTAACGGATGATGTCACGACGCGCGTGGATGCGATGCATGCTATGGTCGTGAAGTATACTCGAGACTTCCCGAAGCACCAGGGGAGTACAATGATCCAAGGGGGAGAAGTAGTGTTGCTGACTGGGTCCACTGGGAGTATTGGGTGTTATGTCTTGGCTCAGCTGTTGTCGGACCCCAAGGTTTCCCGCGTATATGCGATCAATCGGGCTTCTAGAGACCATGTGCCATTGCGTCGGAGGCAGCGTTGTGCCTTCATCGACCGTGGCCTGCCTGACCTGATCACCTCAGAGAAGCTGACTCTTGTGGAGGGAAATTTAGAAGAAGACAAGTTTGACGTCCCCGCCGATCTTTACGAGGAGGTGAGTTCGTGAGCGTGATCGAAGACTCGTTTTATCAGGGCCTTAATGCTCGCTTCCTCTGAACGCAGATGTGCAGCTCTGTGACCCATATTGTCCATAATGGTACGCTTGCAACTCCGCGATCATCACTATGTATATTGATCTCACCCACGATGGCATATAGCATGGCGTGTCGACTTCAACGTTGCGCTAACGTCTTTCGAGTCGAACGTGCGCGGTGTGCGTCGTTTGATTGATTTTGCGCTCAGCACGCCGTTCGCCAAACCTCCGCAAGTGCTGTTCACGAGCTCGGTAGGTGTCTTTCAAAGTGAGCTGGATTCGTGTCTATCTTTCTCGCGAAAACCAACTGAATTCTGCAGATGCCCGCAAAGGCGACGATCTTTCTGAAGCGCCCATCAAGGCAGACTATGCCGTTGGCACCGGCTATGCCGAGTCGAAGTGGGTTTCTGAGCGGATTCTCTACGAAGCAGCTGCAAGAACGCCTGTGGATACTATGGTTGTTCGTGTGGGTCAAGTCACCGGGGGCCTGGATGGTGCTTGGAACCTACAGGAGTGGTTCCCATCCATGGTGCAAAGTGCATCGCGTCTTGGATGTTTCCCTGATGATGATAGGGTGAGTTCGTATACTGCAAATACGTCTGCGCTGAGTAATTGTGTTTCCTTGCGTAATGACAGGATGTGGCCTGGATTCCACTCGAGGTAGTCGCAGCAGCTGTAGCGGATTTGCGCAGAGCATCCTGCCCAACTCGCACTGTGCATCTTGTGCACCCTCGCCCCGTGTCGTGGAATACGATCGCAGTCGTCATTGGTACACGGTTTGGAATCCCGCTCGTCCCGTATGCTCGGTGGCTCGCGCGACTTGAGAGGATTACTCAAGCTACCCATGAAGAGAGTTCCGGAGAGCAGGCAACGTCGCGTAGTCTTCGTGTTTTACAGCTGCTGCCGATGTTCAAGGCTATTGGTGCAAGTCTGCAGTCAGGTACTATGGCACTTGGGTTCCATGATATCCCAGCGTCACGCGCATTAGAAGCATCACCGACCCTTGCGGACCCCGAGTTGCGGCAGTTAGGCGAAGAGGATGTGCAGAGGTGGCTTGCGTACTGGCAAAGAGCAGGCTTGTTTGGTCCTTCTGACAGGCAGCTTGATGGGCCAAGTAGGGACACAAGACCAAACTGATGGCATACTCGATTCACATGTGGCACGTCTTATTGGACAGCGAACCAGTTTGCGCCTTCACACGTTCAACAGCGCAGGATCAGTCACATCGTGGATTCGATTGTATCCCTTGTATTCTATGTTCGCATGACTTGTCAATTGATACTGCTTCTTGGACTTGGCCTTCGGCCGCTCCCACAGCTTAATTGACTGGGTTTGAAGACAAAGGGATGGTTGCGGCATTCCGCCCTGCCTCTCGTAGCACTCAATGGCTCATGACGAAATCAGTTTCTACATGAGGTTGTCATATGCTATCGACAGGGAGATTCTTCGGACATTTAGATTCATGGACGTCACATCTACGAGCCCTCAATGCACACAACTTCGTCTATCTCGAGCTTATCTTCTGCTAATAGCACGAAGGCTCGCGCCATTCCAAGCACTATTAACCCCCCAAACCGCAACGCTGTCCTCTTTGAATCCTGACCTCACAGTATGCCTTGGGCCACAATCAAGCTCAACGACGGTCAGTCTGCACAATGATCGTCGTCTTTTTTGTGAGCTTGAATGGGATACTATTCAGGAACCGAGATCCCGAGCATTGCATTCGGTACATGGAAGCTTGGTAATGGGGAGACTACAATCAGTAAAGTAAACCAAGCCTTTTCCGTAGGATTTGATCACCTCGGTCAGTATCTTCGCTAATCAACGTTGCCAAGCTAAATAACGTACTTTATCTCGCGATAGATACCGCGCAAGTGTACAGAAATGAGAAGGAAGCAGGCGAAGCACTGCGTGCGAGCGGCCTCGCTCGCAAGGATGTCTATATCACCACAAAGTACTCAGGTCGTGCAGACATTCAGACGTCCATTCGGAACAGTTGCGAATACGTGCATAGTTTCTGTCCATTCGAGTGTTGCGAGTCTGATAGAGTATATGTTAGCTTGGCGTTGACTACGTGGACTTATATCTCATTCACGGACCGGACTTGGCCGTCCCAGACATTCCGACGATCTGGAGGCACATGGAAAAAATCAAGACCGATGGACTGTCCAGGTCCGTGTTTCCTCTGTTTCGATTTACTACTTCGACGGTTGAAGAGCCTTTGCGCGTAGGAGCATCGGCGTGAGCAATTTCAATGTGCAAGAATTGCAAACTCTCCTTGCGACAGCCATCATCAAACCCGTAACCAACCAGGTTGATTTGATATTAGTACCCTCTGGGTGTATCTTGTCTGAACCAGACTTAGATTCTCTTTCACCCATATGTACTCTCTCGTCAAGGACCCATCGTCGCGTTCGGAGCGCTGCACGGAATTGTCAGCGAGGCATACAGTGTATTGATGTGCGTCTGGACTGCTGTACAATGCATGCATACATGATGACATTCCCCAACAGACCTGTAACGCATAAGCCAGGAGGTCCAGTTGATGCCCCGGTTCAATCTATCGCCCAGAGGCTTGGAGCTGAGCCGGAACAGGTTCTTCTGGCTTGGGCTAAAGCCAAAGGAGTGGTCGTTGTAACGTATGTGATGCCCAAGCGCTCATTCCCATGAATTGACGATCCATATAGCTCGAGCTCAAAAAAGGAGCGACTGGAAGGATACTTGAGAGCAGGAGACTTAGGTGAGTGTTTAGGTGGTCTGACAAACAATCAATGCTGATAAGAGTTTCTTGTGATGAAGAGCTAACGCTTGAAGACATCGCCGCGATCGATAATGCTGGCCTCGCGGGCTCGCGTCATTGAGTGCATATAACACAAGGAATGAGATTCTTTCCAGGCAATGTTAATACAAGTGCAATCGGCAAATACCTCACGGGAATCCTGGAACCGAAGACCCTTGTATAATAAATATGCTGGCTGTGGCATCTACAAGGATATCGAGTTGGCGCATGGGCGTATTAAGCTCAGTTCCGAGTGCATGGGGTTGTGCAGGATCCTCTTCGTCTGGTACAAGAGGACTGCCCCGCGGTGCGAATTTGAAAGCTCTACCGGGTTGATGTTGAGTTCGCTTGTCGACACGATGCTTGCGACCCGCTCAGCGCTTCGTAGGATGCTCATCAGATCAGGATATCCATATGGTAGTACGTCCGTATAAGTATCTGTGCCGGTATTTTTGCTGACAGGTCCTCCGTACAACTGCCACCGTTCCACATGCGATAGGTTTATCGTGGCAATTCGCTTCCGTAAGACCGCGTGACGCACTGATGCCACGGTGCACCTCTATATTACCTATATAACCCATGGACTCTGGAGGTATCGACCTCTGAAAGTGCTTGTTTCCTGACCGTCGGGGTGACTCACTCCAGACCGCAATCATGCGGGCCTCGGCTGCTTCTGTTGTATCAACCCTGGTGGCGGTTATTGGACAGTCTTTGATTGCAGGCGCTGTCCCAGCTTCATCTAGTGTCGATCCATGTGCGAAGATTGCGGGACTAGAGTTTGCACCGCCTGCTGACGCGTTAGCATGTCTGACATCGTTCCCGTTCAACGAGACTCTGCGTCAGAACGTGTTGGATGTAGTTTCCAAAGTGTTCGACTTCTACACATTTGAAGACTATTACCTCGAGCCTGTACCCGTCTTCGAGCAGCCGGCGGTCTACATTCGCTCTGAACTCGCTCGTATCAATAGTACATCATACGATGTAAGTATATTCATTATACTTATGTGTGAGCACATCTCACTTCTTTTAGTCAGATTATGCATTCAACAAGGACCTCTTTGACATGGTCAACAGCCTGAATGATGGACACACGGGTATGCTGCTCTGACTCTAAGCTCACATCTCAATGATAATCTACTTGGGATCAAAGGTTGGTATCCCTTCTGCTATTGGGGCACGTTTCAGAACCTCCTCCCAGCGCCTGTTATCAGCCTCGAAGTAAATGGTGTTCAGAACGTCTATGTCGTCCCCAATCTTGTCGATGTCGTCAATAGCTTGGGCGCTAACTACACCTCCCACTTTGAGTCTATTGGCTTTGACTGGCAGCGGCTTGCGGGCGCTCTCGTGCTGGAGATTGGAGGCATGGACGCGTATGATTACGCGGATTATGTTGCTGACACCGTTACGGGAAATTATATTGACCATGGTGTCCGTATAAATAGCGTATTCAGTAGCTATGAGATCAACGAGGACAACGAGTTCCAGCAACGATTTGGAGATATTGCTGGGCCGCTATTCCCGGATCAGGAGAATCTTACTATGACTCTTATCCCGGTTGGCTCGACGTCCCCAGAAACAGTCACGATACCGTTCTTGGCGATAGCGGACACTTATCCATTCACAGATGCATCATCCTAGTGCGTCTTATACTTGTCTATACCTGGGCGCACTCTGACTGACCCCGACCGTAGCTGGGCAAATAACTGCGCAGCAAATAATGAAACAAATGGTGTCGACTATCGGACAACTGAAGGAAAGACGGAGAGTGCGCGAACGTATGCACGAGCGAATCTTATGAAGAGCTCAGCACGAGCGGCATTCCCCTCTCAGCTTGTGCCTGATCTACCAATGGTCAATGGGAGTTCTGGTCAAATCAAGAATTTCCTCTTAGACGACAACACCACTGCTGTGGTTAGTACTCATCGTTACTCAAATCGTATCCAATTCTCATGTTAATCAATTACTGGAACAGATGTTCGTCGGCTCGTTTGACCCCGACGACTACAATGGCTTCCAAAACGATGTCGTCTCAGCAGTGACTCAGTTTAAAGAGGCCGGTGCGACTCGTTTGATTGTAGATCTTACTAATAATGGGGGTAAGACTTCTAAGGCCACTGCCTTGGTCAATACTTACAGTCTCTACAGGAGGGTATGTCTGTCTTGGAGAATTTCTGCATGCATACCTTGCTGGATCGAGCTTCGGCTTCCCGTAAGTGTGATTCAATGTCATAAAGAGCAAAGTTTCATCCTTTCCCAAACACAGTGGTTATTCCACAGCTGTACGCGCCAACACGCTCGCACAGAAGATTGTAGCTGCCGATATCATGCTGAACAACACCGAAGAGGTTGCATTCTACGCTCCGGACAACTGTACGTATTTCTTCGGCTTTATTCGCCAATTGCGCTGATCCTCTGAATCTCAGGGGCTTTCACGAATGACACTATAATGCCAAATACGTACAACTACATCACTCCTGATGTTAACAGTACAATTGATGGTGCACTGTACTCCGAGTCCCAACGATTCTACGTCAGTATCCTTTATTGTTTCAAGGTGCTAAATCTTACGAGTTAGTGCAGGATGTCTGTACGCCATGGAATGTCGAGCTGCCAGTGGATCCACCATTTGACCTAAAGTGAGTATCATTCTGCTTTTATTGTGGGACGGGCCGAATATTGATTATGTCCAGCAATGTCGTTATTGTTGGCAATGCCGATTGCGCATCGACGTGTGCACAGTTCAGTACTCTCATGTACGAAAGACATAACACCAGGGTCGCAGTTTTTGGTGGAAAGCCGGGGGAGGTGATGCAATACAAGGGCGAGTCCGTTGGCATTCTTTCTTAAGGTGCTTGTGTGACTTTGTCGCTGTCACTATATAGGCATGGCTGGCGAACAAGTTCTTGAGTGGTACGACATCGACTCCGAGATCAAGACTGCTGGACTTCAAAATGTACGTGATACAGTGAATTAAGTGTTCGAGGGCGTCTGATATAATGTGAATTACATAGGATCCTCTAGCTCCTCCTGATCTGTGAGTCTTCCTTGATGCTTTAAATGGTCTGGTGTCATTTGAGTTAACCTCATCACTCAGGCTGGTCGATGCAGATTTCCGGTAAGCCCATCACCACGGCTTGTGTTTATTACGCAGACTCAAAGTTTCCCCCTGCAAAGCCACAACTGGAGAACAGGTACGGAGCTGTGTTCTTTTCAGTGCAAGTTATCTCACGTCGTTCCCTCCAATAGCGTACAGCTGGCTTAACGAAGAAATTCCTATTGGTGGGTGGCCCCCCACGTCTTGCCTGCGTCGTGTGTGATTGATTGGTTCCGCAGCATATATGTCAGAGTTGCCGCAATGTAAGCTTACATGCGACGATGTAACAAAGCTACAGCGGAATTACTAACACACGGCGAATGTCGTATCAGATCGCTTTCCGTACACGCCGGATACGTACATGAGCCCCCAAAATCTCTGGGCGTACGCGTAAGTAGTTCTAGCAAATGTATTGCTTCATCTTCTGACTGAGCAGGTTGGCACTGTTGTCATGCAGGGCGAGCGTTATGTTCTAGAAATTCGAATCTTGATAGGGCTGGCGAGGTTGCCTAAATGTACAGCTAGATCTGAGCCAGTAACTGTTGGGGCAATAGAGCACACAGCTTTTTCTCGTTATCTTATCGGACTGATAAAGCAGAGAGGCCTGATATTCCCTGCATATTTCTTGCAGTCTGCTCCTGAAAGAGCCCTAAAATCTAGGAATGGGATCATAGGTCAATCATCTCGGAGGGGGAATGGCAACCAGAGCGCCGCTTCCTCTCTTCCGGGTCTGCGATTGATGCGGATGCCGCGACGCGCCAAGACGCGCCCAACCTCTTTCACGACTATGCACGAATCCATCCGTATGTTTGATAGCATGCCTTGAATTGACACTCCTTCAAAGGCTTCAATACCCTCAGCTGCTCCAAGTTGTAATGTGCGGGAACAAACAACAGCTTATCAGTAACCGTATACGCTAACGCTTTTCAAACAATCCCGAAGTCCGGAATTTGACGCTTCCGCCGGCTCCTCATGAACTCCGTACATCGCCATGCCGTCGGTATCTTCACTACTACTACTGGTTAAAGTGCACTAGGGTGTGAGACTATCTATGCTATCAGGGAGCGCGAATAATTTCGACTAGCCATGTTGGGCAAGGCACCGCGAATGCTGATTCGCGTATTTATTCGCTACGAAAAAAGCAAGCCACACATAATCTTGTCATATACAAGCTGGTGTGCCATGTTAATCCCCAAACTTTCGATATTCTCTGATGGAGCTAACAGCGTGTGGGGCCTCACGAACTCACCAATACGACAATGAGTAGTCAGGTGTGCAAGCTCCAGATGAATGCAGAGAGTACCGAGCAAGAACTTACAATCGGCATCCCTGCAGGCGTGGCGAGTGACTGAAATCTGCTGACCACCCTTGGCCGCTCAAGCGCCGTCGGCTGAATCAAACGCTTATGTACTTGCAGGTCACCGGCGGTGAAGGCTACGGCGCCGAGTGGCCGTTCGCATCCACGACTTTTGCGATCCGCAGGGTTCGAATGCCGTATATACTGTGCAAATGCCTCGGGCTGCTACCATCATGGGCAAAAGCATCTCGCTTGTCTCAAATCTTTACCCCTCAGGGTCGTGCTTCCTTTGAAGTTTATAATGCTGCGAGACACGTAGACACGCCGGGGGCGAGTTGATTGACTCTCAACTCCTTCACTCTTTCGATGCTTTCATGACTGGTCTGAATATTCAGCTTGAGAAGACGATTGGTTGCACGTTTATCGGTGTTCTCTTTTCCGTATTGTACGTCTTTTTTCGAGTGTTCTAGTAGAGACGATTTTCATGACTGTTTCGGTGCACTCAGACTGCATGGTTGCACCCTCGGTCAGGCTGCGTTTTACGCGCAGCACTACCCCAAGGACCGCTTCCGCATAAAGGCTCTGGTTTGTTTCCAATTCGTATATTTTTACATCAACAAGCTCATATTCTTGCCTGCAGGTAGCTGGCGTGTTGTAAGATCGCCTCGTGCCGTACCTCTGTGACGAAGCACTTATTCCAATTGAAAGAATCATGAATAGCGCGAAGACTGCCATTGACGCCCAGGTACTTCGGATGGCCCTACATGGGACGAGTGAGATGAGCTTACGTATCGAAAGTTCCTGTGGTTAGACCTCGTGCAGAACCATGCAAATATCACCATCCTTTCGAAACTGGCGAGGTACGTGCTTCCGATCAAAAAAATGCATATATTAGCTCCATCTAGAGCTCTTCTGCAGCACATATGGGGTATGTCGGCATTTCACTATGCATCACGCAAAGCTAAGATTGTCTCATTTCCGAGGCGGAGTACATTCTCGGAGTGAGTAAGATGTATTCCAATTCATCTATTTTTGCTCACTAGCACAGGCTCTGGTTACGTTTTTAGTTCAAAGGTGAGTCACTCGGACCAAGCTATTTACAGGGCTCATCATGCGTACAGCTTCTTTTTGCATATTATATGGCAACGTGGGTTTGTTCAATCGTGGTGTAAGTTTATATTGATGCGTTTTTTTTTTAATAGTTTTGGAGCGGAAGTGGTACAGAAACCTGGTTTCAATAACAGGGGTAAGCACACGATCAGGTCGATTGCAGGGCGATCACGCTGCTGATTAAAACTTAGGGGGTTCTATGTCTTACTTCTCTTGGTATGTCCTACGCGTGGTGTTACTTCATTCAAACTAATGCAACTATTCAGGTGCCGTACTAGGTCAGTAAATTTGGCATTGCAACCTTTTATGTGAAGCAACTTACATGTTTTGGTGTGGGTCAAGGTGGTGCTTATGAACTGTAAGTCGCGATGTGGCTCAGTGAAACAGTATATAGCTAAACTTTCATTCAAGCTATTCAAGCAAAAACGTGGACACGGTGGAACGAAATATAGTTGTTCGTAACACGCATGTGTGACTCAGATCCTAGTGTCATTCCAGATATGCTTTCAGGTTCAGGGAGAAGTGCGTGTAGTTGCCGCTGCGCTCACAGACGTCTATGTCTCGACGGCGCTGTGTTGGATACTGCGGAGGTCAAGGACAGGGTTTAAGCGGTAAGGTTGACAACCCTTTGGCACTTTGAGGTTGGCTCATCCAGCATTCTGTTCAAGTTCAGAGGCAGTCATTTCAACTCTGCTGCTGTATGCGATGAATCGTGGTATACTTGCTAGGTAAATGGAGATGGTGATGACAATGTGTTGGAGCTTCATATTGATTGCTCTATAGTTTAGCACAGATTTCGCAAGCTGTCCTTGTGCGTCTGAGGTTGATCTTCGCTGAGATCCGCTTATTAACGACTTCACATGTAGTTCCACATCGATTTGCGGCTAGGTACATTTTACACAGATCTTGTTTGTTTCCTTACCAGCAACAGTAAGCAAATCCAATCGAATAAGCATGTCATGACGCTAATACGTCATGGACGCAGTCTATGTGATTTCCCTTTTGGCAGTGTACGAGTTTTGGTCAAGGAAATGTCACATGAGTGGTGTTTTACTGACTCTACGTAGATTAAATGTCCGCAAGAACATCCGAGAACGTGCACCCTCGGAAGGAGACTTCTCCATCCCCATGGCCTGGCTAGAGCCGGCCCATCTCGACAAGTTGGATACGATCGCCCTGTACGTTCTGCCTCTATTTCCCTAATACGCAATCGCTCATAGCCTCCGTAGTACTCTGGTGCCGCCACTACCCAAGAGGATAACCAAGCGCTCGCAACCACGGTCTGACCTTGGTGGAATCATAGTCGCCAAGGAGGTCATCTGCGTCGAAGACACATACGAATGCAGCACTGTCATTGACGCGAAGGATGCGCAGCAGATTGATGTTCTGGAACGCTCAAGATCCATGAATGTCGTGTAAGCATTATACAGGAGTACATTTGTGATGTGAGAAGTCACGGCTGTTTGCTGTGCTTGGGATGCATCGGTGTCGTGCGACAATTCGTTCCTTTGATATCTTACTCGTGGTACTTTCTGTCAGAGCTGAAGGATCGTCCATGGCGATGAGTTGATGTGACTATTTTACGGTACCATAGTTAGATACCCTAGTGAGCGATAGATGTCCTCTTCATGTTTATATGGATCTGCCTTCATCCCTGAATATATTCTAGAGTGAGAGATTTCATGATATTTCATGATGCGGTTTCGTCTGCGACGCATGACGTCATACACGTATTTACAGTACGACCGCTGTGGGCCTGCACAAACGCCAGCTGTTGTTTGGAACGCAAGGCAGTCCGCGGATTGGCTGTTTAAATGGCTAGATTGAAACTTATATGAAATAATTCTGCTCTATTTGACAATCCCACTCACCCTCACTTGTCAAGTCAGGTCATGCATCCCACGACGTCGATCGTTCCGTTGGAACTTCAAGCTCAAGATCTGTCACGACGACTTCCCCCGTACTCTCTCGTCGTATAAAGCCCTCACTATGTCTGGCATGCGTCCAAGCTCTTTCTCCCTTCTTCTATCATGTCCGGCCCAATCACCTCTGCCGCTCAACAGGTTTTCACTGCTGTAGTGCAAGACGAGAAGACTGCTGACCTTCAAAAAGACATCCTCGACCCCAAGGCGATTTCGGCAAAGGGCCTAACTACCGATCATGGCGTCAGTGTCTCTAACACGGATCACTGGTGCGTGAGATGCTGTACATCGAGACGGAGTCGACGATGTTTTCATCCAGGCTCAAAGTCCACGATGCCGCTCATACTGGTCCCTCCCTCTTGACTGACCAGGTAATTCCATGTATGCGCTCTATTCGGTCTTTGTTGACATATTTCAAGATCGGCCGCGAGAAGATTCATCGGTTCGACCATGAACGTATTCCTGAGGTAGGTCAACAGAGAGAAAATGCGCATATAGTCACTCGCCTGACCTGCGCACTAGCGGGTGGTTCATGCTCGGGGTGCCGGCGCCCATGGGTATTTTAAGATATTCAACGACAGCGCCTCGAAGTACACACATGCCCCGGTGCTCACGGATACTTCCAGGACGACTCCCGTCTTCGTACGATTCAGCACCGTCCAAGGCTCTCGGGGTTCCGCAGTGAGTTCTGCGTGCACAATGTCTTCTTGCACAGACTGAAGCCAATGTGATCTAGGACACAGTGCGAGACGTCCGCGGTTTTGCAGTCAAATTCTATACTCAAGAAGGCAATTGGGATATCGTTGGCAACGACATCCCCGTGTTCTTCATACAGGAAGCCATGAAGTTTCCGGACCTTGTACATGCGGTGAAGCCCGAACCACAAAACGAAGTTCCACAAGGTCAAAGTGCGCATAACAACTTCTGGGACTATGTCGGCCTACAGCCTGAATGTATGTGCCAATTTATGACCAAACGACAGTATGCTTACCAGTTAGCAAATACAGCCGCACACATGGTGATGTGGGTGATGTCCGACCGCGGTATCCCTCGTTCGTATCGCATGATGCAAGGCTTCGGAGTCAATACATACTCGTTGATGAATGCGAAGGGCAAGCGGCACTTCGTCAAATTTCACTTCTTACCAGAGTTGGGCGTCCATAGCCTCATGTGGGACGAGGCGCTCAAACTCGCAGGACAGGACCCGGGTTCGTGCCTACCACGCTATTGCCGTCTTATCCCTGATATACCTATGGCGTTCTTTCAGACTTCCATCGCAAAGACCTCGAGGAAGCAATTCAAACGGGGGCGTATCCGAAGTGGAAATTTGCTATACAAACGATTGCCGAGGGACGCGAGGAGGAGTTTGACTTTGACATCCTAGACGCAACCAAGATCTGGCCAGAGGAGCTTGTACCGCTCCAGGAAATCGGAGAGCTGGTTCTGAACAGGACCGTCGACGAATACTTCCCAGAGACAGAACAGGTCGCATTTTGCACGTCTCATGTCGTACCAGGCATCGGGTTCAGCGACGATCCACTTCTGCAGGGACGCAACTTCTCGTACTTTGACACGCAGATCACTCGGTTGGGTGTCAATTGGGAGGAATTGCCTATCAATCGCCCTGTTTGTCCTGTGCTGAATCATCAGAGGGATGGAGCAATGCGACACAGAATTACGAAAGGGAACATCAACTACTGGCCTAATCGCGAGGGTGTTGGAAGACCTGTACCTGTTGCGGAAGGCGGTTATCTGGAGTAAGTGAATTGAAGTCATCGCTTATACGCTATGTGTAAGTTTAACGCTCTCGTGGATAGCCCAGCACAAACAGTTGCGGGGATTAAGCAACGGGCGCGCGGTACCAAGTTCCAGGAACACTTCAATCAAGCACAGCTCTTCTACAATTCGCTTGCACCTCACGAGAAGGCGCATCTAATAGCAGCCATCTCGTTCGAACTCAGCCACTGCGACGATTCTATTGTTTATGAAACATATTCGCGCGTCCTCAACAACATTGACTTCGAGCTCGCGAAACAAGTGGCGACGAATGTAGGCGGTGTCATTCCAGATAAGCCTGCACGAAGCAACCATGGACAGTCGACACGGACGCTTTCGCAGATGTACTATACTCCCAAAGAAGCGACAATCGCATCGAGGCGCATCGCCATTTTGCTAGCGGATGGTTTTGATAAGGTGGAAGTCGAGAGCCTCAGGGCTGTCCTGAAGACGGGTCAAGCGACGACATGGGTCATTGGTCCCAGACGAGGAACTATTCGCGCCAATGGTAGTCGTGAAGGGATCTGGGCTGAACACCACTTTGAGGGACAGAGGAGCACAATGTACGATGCGCTTATTGTCCCGAGTGGGGCAGCACACGCGCAGGCTTTGGCAGTCAATGGACGAGCGGTGCATTGGGTGAGAGAGGCATTTGGGCATTGCAAAGTGATTGGGGCAATAGGAGAAGGTACGTCGCTGTTCTGCATGGTGATGTGCCACGGGTGCGTACGATACCAATACGTCTGGGAAAGACTTCGACGCTTTATAAGTAACGCCTCTGACCAATTGGGACTCATCGCTCGGTGGCCCGGTTAGCCGGAGGCGGGCGCTCACTAGCGCTAGCGGACTCCTCAATACGTCATTGCATCACAGAAAGGTATTGTTGGCAAAATTCAAAGTTGACTCACCCGTCGTATTTTAGGCGTTGCGTTCTTACGCGAAGCTGTGCAGCTACCTGGGGTACAGCTATCGACCGATAAATCAAGCAATGCACTCACATCGTACGGTGTCGTGACTGTGGGTAGATACAACGCCGGGTCTGCGGACGTGTTAAAAATTGGAGGCGAGAAGGGCTTCGTGAACGTGTTTGCGTTTGAAGTGAGTAAGCATCGTTGCTACGAGCGAGAGATGGATGGTTTGGCGTCGAAGGTCGCCTTTTGAGGGGACGTCGAGTGAAGAAGCTTCGAAGGGAAATCTTGAAGAGTGGATCCGAACGCGTGGTCTAGGGAAGGACGGACAGCCAAATCAGAATTTGTCGATGCGTTAAAGGCGCTTCCATTGTGCGTTACGAAGGAAGAGATTCAGGGTCGTAGTCTTTGTATTATGGCATGTGTGTCCTGACAAACAATTGTTGAAAACTTACCACATTCGTGGGCAGAGCGTGACGACGTTCAGTCACGGAGACGACCACCAAGACTGTTGAGGGAAAGACGCAGCTGTAACATCTGACAGACTTACGACAGAGCGCTGCATCTAGACACGGTGATTGGGTGGTTGACCATGACGAGCTACAGCCTCGCACTACTAGTTACCAGCGCCCATGGACGTGGAAATCTTCAAGCAGATGGCTTGAGATCATTCAGGGACTTGTTGCAGAAACGTAGTCTCAGTCTTGCTCCCACCCTAGAGCAGCTATAACATCACGTGCGACAATTTGATAGGCAGACTGAAAGATCTGAAGCTGTCGCGCCGTCGTCATGCCAATTGGCCAAACTGTCTAGACTCGACATTGCTTCGAGTGCCCCCCGTCGAGTGTCACGCACAGGTCATCCTCTGGGTAAGTTCTAGCATTCACGATACAAAGCCTCCATCCCAGACTTACTCCGGGAAAGTCGGCTGTTACAAGGGGATGGATGCAACCGAAGCGTATCGGGGCGTCGGGACCGTGGGGTCGCAGAGGACACGGTATTGTCGGACGAGATACTGTATCATCGCCGCGGGGACGAGCGGGATGGTGTTGACCACTCAAAGCCCGAAGATTTCCGCAGATGCAGCCAGTCGGAGCGTCGGACCGACGAGAGCGCAGGGCCACTCAAGGGCCACTCGCGAGCCTAGCCAGCGCGGGTAAGCCAATGAGAGGCCACCGAGGACAACTGTCGTCATGCATCATTCAATCTCAACACCGCACAGGCCGCATCCAACAAACGATGCAGGCAAGGCTGTACCCCGGCCGTCGCGCTAGCAAGAGACTGCATGTTTTGTTGTGCAGCTGGACACGCCCTCTCCACGCCCTCGCTCGGTGAGTCGTGCGTTCGACCTGAACACAGCGGCGGGTCGCATGAGCTGCTCATGTTGCTTGACCCGTGCCATGTCAAATTGCCCATATGTGACGCACGCTCTGGTCCAGATCCGGCGTCGATCGGGCACCTTCAGAAACCACGCAGAGCGCTTCTCGCTCACCCCGGTCCCCTGCGGACGACTGGCCAATGAACACGCTCAGCGCAACAGCACAACAGAATGATATATAAACCGCCCTAGGCCCCTGCCCATCGGTACCCCTCCCTCTCTCTCCATCCGCTTCCCTCTCATCCTCCTGTGCTCCAGCCTCCCTTCGCATAAGCGACTCAGAGGTGGACCACCAGGGGTACATCTTTCCACTCGTCTTTCTCTCCCCGTCCCTTCATCTGCGTTTTCGTGCACGACTAGACCATGTCCGAACCAAACGAGAAAGTCCCGGGTCCGCCCACTCCCAAGGAGCCCGGCACGCCCGCCTCCGAGCCTGAGCAGCCCGAGAAGAAAAAGCGCGAATACAAGGACTTTGGCCACGATGTGGAAGCAGCGACCCGTATGTTGCCTTTGCTGCTGGCCGCCGCATGCAGGCGCGTGCTTACCGCATGTGTGTGTAGACGCCAAGGTCGACATGTCCCAAATCCAGCTGCGTGCAGAGGACTTGTACGACAAGGAGAAGGTCGACCTTGAGACGATCGTCCTCGAGGACGTGTTTAAGCTTCTCCAGTGCGACGAAAATGGTCTCGCAAGCGAGGAGTGTCAAAGGCGTCTCGAGCTGTTCGGTCCGAACAGGCTCGAGGCTGAAGAGCAGAATGCTTTCCTCCAGGTTTGTCTTTTCTGCTCGCCTGTTCCCGCCATGTTTGCTAAAGCGCCACTCCTACAGTTCTTGAGTTTCATGTGGAACCCCCTCTCCTGGGTCATGGAAGGTGCCGCGCTCGTAGCCATCGCTTTGTCCAACGGCGAGGGCCAGCCTCCGGATTGGGAGGATTTCCTGGGTATCGTTATATTGCTTTTGATCAACTCTGGTATCGGTTTCTACGAGGAGCGCAACGCTGGTAACGCCGTCAAGGCTCTCATGGACTCGCTCGCGCCCAAGGCCAAGGCCAAGCGTGCCGGCGAATGGAAAGAAATTGAGTCGGCAGACCTCGTCCCCGGTGACATGATCGCGTTCAAGATTGGAGACATTGTGCCTGCGGACTGTCGGCTGACAGAGGCT